ATCGTGTTGATGTTGTGGTGGAGGAGAGGATCAGGGTGAGAGGTATCGTGTTGATCTTGTGGTGGAGGAGAGGATCAGGGTGAGAGGTATCGTGTTGATCTTGTGGTGGAGGAGAGGATCAGGGTGAGAGGGGTATCGTATTGATCTTGTGGTGGAGGAGAGGGTGAGAGAGGTATCGTGTTGATCTTGTGGTGGAAGAGAGGATCAGGGTGAGAGGGGTATCGTATTGATCTTGTGGTGGAAGAGAGGGTGAGAGAGGTATCGTGTTGATCTTGTGGTGGAGGAGAGGATCAGGGTGAGAGGGGTATCGTATTGATCTTGTGGTGGAAGAGAGGGTGAGAGAGGTATCGTGTTGATCTTGTGGTGGAGGAGAGGATCAGGGTGAGAGGGGTATCGTATTGATCTTGTGGTGGAGGAGAGGGTGAGAGGAGTATCGTATTGATGTTGTGGTGGAGGAGAGGATCAGGGTGAGAGGGGTATCGTGTTGAAATCAGGGTCAAATTGTTTGTAGGAGCCTTGATGGGTGAGAGGATAAATCACTTTATGGATGGATGGATAAATTACGTGATGGATGGATGGATAAATTACGTGATGGATGGACGGATGAATCACTTGATCGATGGACGTATACACAACAGACTGACAGACAGTTGGATGGATGGAAGGGCAGATGGATGGATGTTGATTGTTCTGTAGAAAGAAAGGTGCGGATAGATTGATAGATTTATGGATCTAAATACAGGCAGATAGATAGACAGGTGTGGATTGACAAGCAAAAAGACATGCTTGGTTTTTAAATCCAAATAACAGAATGTACACATTTTCCGAGCACCCTTAAGACCCGAGACAGTGGTACTTACTTCTTGTAGTCAGCCTTGGAAACTTTTGTTTCTCCTGGGGGGAGTGGTCTAGATGTGCAATGTCCACGCAAACTGCATTTGATCAAAGTTATTTCTTGAGCAGATTATAAATCTGTCATGTACCCCACTCGTGATCCGGTTTATTATCTATACCTTCTCTTTAAACCTTCATTTCTCTATACCTTTATTTCGCTATTCCTTCTCTTCGCTACAGTTCTTTGTACCTTCTATTATGTCTACATTCTCTTCTGTATGCCTTCTCTTCTCAGTACCTTCTCTTCTGTATACCCTCTCCTCTCTGTACCTTTTCTTCTGTATACCCTCTCTTCTCTGTACCTTCTCTTTGGCTACTTTATCCTGTGTATACCTTCTCTTCTCTGTAACTTCTCTCATGTCTACTTTCTATTTTGTATACATTCTCTTCTCTGTACCCTCTCTTATGTCTACTTTTTCTTTCCTGTACTTCTCTTCTGTATACATTGTTTTCTGTAATCATTCTGTAATCTACACCATCTCTTATCTGTACCTTCTCTTATGCCTACCTTCCCTTCTGTATACCTTCTCTTCTGTATACTTCTCTTCTGTATACTTCTCTTCTGTATACCTTCTCTTCTGTATATATTCTATTATCTACACCATCTCTACTCTGCGCCTTCTCTTCTCTATAGGCTGATTACATTGGAGCTTTTCAGCCCACACATCTGATTTCACCAAACCTTTAATTTATCGTCTTTTACGGCATGCTTGTTAAGGGTACCCCCACTTATATCGCTGTTTACCACTTCTTCGCCTGCCTTCAACTTTATCTCTCATTTGACCAGCCATGTTTTATAAGTAACTAGTTTTATTATTGAATTGAATGGTTACTTTGTGTTTCTCCCTCAGCAATGATGTCATCCACCCTGGTGGAAACAGTCTCCATCAACTACGATGACTTCAATGACAGCTTCCTGACCTGCGGGACTTGCCTGTGCACCTATGACGGCCAAGAACGAACCCCCAAGCTCCTCCCATGCTCTCACACGGTCTGCCGGAACTGCTTAGAGCGAATCATCGCCGCCCAGACTCTGGACACTGGTTCGTTCCGCTGTCCAATATGTCGAGAGACCATCCATATCCCTCAAGGGGGCGTGGTCTCATTCCCACCTTCATTTATAGTCAACCAATTACTGGACTTGATGGCGCAACAACGAAGAGACGTGATACCCAAATGCTCGATTCACGCTACACAGGAACTGCTTTTCTGTGAAACATGTGATGTGGTTTTCTGTTTGCAGTGCGTGGATGGCAATCATATAGGGCGTGGCGCCAGCGAGCACACTGTTATACCATTCGCTATTGCCATCAAGAGAATGTCCGAGATCCTGTTGTACAAGGCACATCTGTGCATCAAAAACTTAAACTCCGCCTACGAGGCGGTGTCAGATGAACTGAGACAGTTGGAACTTACTGTGGATAAAACATTGGATTCTATCAACAGGTCATTCCAGGTATGGTGGAAAAGTGTTTTGTTACTTTGTATACTTGCATCATCATCATCATCGTCATCATCGTCATCGCCGTCATCATCATCATCATCTAATCCATCTCAGTATTTGAAGCTTAGATGCCATTAGTCTTCTTCTTCTTCTTCTTCTTCTTCTTGTTCATCATCATCTTCTTCTTCTTCTTCTTCTTCTTCTTCTTCTTCTTCGTTAGCCTGCTTAGCCTAATTGTGAACAGATTAGTAACACATTGTGCACTGCTTGGTATAATAGAAAATAGCCCACCACCTCTGCTTCTTAGGGGAGGGGAAAGGGGGGCTACGGTGTCTCTGCATAACTAAATGGCTAAGCTGTTTTGTCTTATGATTTAATTGTCGCGGGGTAGTTTCACAGACCGCCTCATTCGGTCTACGGGTGCAGCTTTTGCGAACATCATCGCTGGAGCTACATAGTTAGTGCTTTGTGCGACGCTGTCGACAGGTGGCTCACCGGTTCGTAGAGAGACCAAGATACAAACCCCGTGCAATGATTTAAAACTTTTGACTGTAAGCACATCAAATCTCTATTTTTATATATGTATATAACTGGCTTACGTAATTTTTGATCAGATTTGAAATTCGTTATTCATTACATGATTTCTATACCGTTTCCCCGCTCAGTTTGTTACACAACTGTGGGCTGTTTCCAGTTGCTGCAGTGAATGTCCTGGAGCAATAACTTTGATTTCATCGATGTATTTATTGTTAAATTCTTCAGAGACAAGCGATTGTTTAATCCTGATATTGTTAAAGCAGGGTCGAATCTGCATGCAGCTGCAGAGGAATGAGGTCATTCCAAAAGACTAAGCATAAATTGTGGTAACAATGTAAAGCAATTTTCATTTTCACATGCTTTTTCTAAAACTAAACCAGAGTGTATCGCTATTAAGCCCCTCGCCCTAACTCCCATAGCATTAGTGACTTGATCCTAACCTGTTACTTCACTCCATTCTTTATTTATTTGAGCATAATGCTCTTTTGTAAGAAAGCTGGGAATTTCATGACCAATTCATAGTCTGTCTTCTTATTTTAACACTTAACTGGCTTAAGTACACAATGCCAACATTAAAAATATTAAGAAGTACAGTTTTGTTCAGCAACAGTCAACTAGTGACAAATGTGTACAAAAGTACCAACTTTGGCAGCCCTGAGTAGAAACAGGACAAGCCGGGGCGACGAGACGCTTGCACCGATGAAACCGCCCCAGAAATGATTACAGCGGCAAGACGGGAACACAACAGGACAAGAAGGAAATTAGTTTCGCATTATTCTTTTTATGAGTAAAAGGGGGAAGAATGTGTCATGAGTCAACTGTAGGTGGAGACAATCTTCTTTCTTGGCGTTCACCGGCTGTAAACGCCGGCGGAAAGCCCTGGTTGTTCGTCCACTCCGGGACTTTGGTTTTGTTTTAGGACTTGAGTATTGCGTGAGTGTTTACCAGACATCAGCACTACAGGAACTCTCGTGGATACATTAACCAGTGTATGCAGGAGTGCGAGGAAATGATAGAGTGGATTTTCTGGCTACAAAAGCGATAGAAACAGGAACACGCGTACCAGTCAAAGGAGACATCAGGAAGACTATTTATAAACGAATATTGAAAAAAGACACCAGATTAGATAACATACGATGTGTAAACATTTTGAACGAGGCATTGGGTGTGGATCGGTCAAGGAGGGACAGATGAGAGGAAGAGAACGACGAGTTATAATCTGTCTGCGTCTACACATTTGCTGCGGGAGACGGAGCACATATGGGTTTGCCCGGGGTGCTATGTTGTCGACTCCTAAATCAGTAAATCAGAGTGTTGCGCCCACATCCGTTTTACAGCTCCAGGCAGCTTGCACGCCCACGGTTGGTTCCTGGTCTCGCATTCAGATGCACTCTGACTTTGAAGCAAATGTCGATCCTGTCTTCGTTGGCTAGCAAGCACCCTTGTTGATGACTTTGTTTTTGGGGTGGCCGCGGAGGGATGTAGATCAGTCTGGAGCAGTGCAACCCATAGTCCTCGTGCACCGCCACATATGGTTCTTCTTCTTCTTCTTCTTCAGCATCCCGAGCCCTTGAGGTCCATTGCTGCAGATATCACCCGCCTCCATTCTCATCTCTCTGGTCGGTCTTCTCTTTCCAGTTGGTGACACCAAGTGTTTGCAGGTCTGTCTGGACATTATCTCTCCATCGTCTTCTTGGTCTGCCTCGTGGTCTACGACCATTCATCTCCCTGGTGTATACAGCTTTTACTTCTCTATCATCTGAGATTCTTTCAATATGTCCCAACCATTTCAGTCTGTTCGCTCTCATAATGCCAGTGATCAATGGTGATTTAAACTTATGAATTTCATTGTTGCTTCTCACTCTCCATTTACCGCTGCTTGCATCTCTGTTGGGTCCAAAGATTCATCTTAAGACAATGTTTTTGAAAATTTGTAATAAGGCTTCATCTCCAAGTTTCACAGCCATAAAAAACGACTGGTCTAATCAACGTTTTATATATCTTGATCTTGGTGTTGCGAGACATACACTTTGACTTTAGTAGATATTGTTCAGTACCTCTGAATTCCTTTAAAAAAAAAGGTGGGGGGGGGGGGGGGGGGGCAATAGTTAGGAAGCAGCAGCCATCCCTGATTTAAACGGTGACATTCTCCACGGAATCGGAAAGATCAACAGTTGTTTAGATTTTAGGAAGGATCACAAGCTTTGCTTGACGCCGCTGGCTTTCATATCTTCGCAGATCTTGATCCTTGATGTTTTTGCTGGAGTTTTGTTGATGATATAGCTCCACGCCACCGTCATATATCATCAGACATCATTTCTCTTACTCTTATCTATTTCTCCCTCCCTGTCTCTCTCTCTCTTTCTTTTATTCTTCCCTGTCGCTGTCTTTTTCTTTCTTTATATTTTTTTCTCTCTTCACTCTCTCCTCTCCCTCCCTCTCTCTCTCTCTCTGCCTTATGTACCAGTGATCTTTCCAGTTGACACTGTGTTCTCTCATTAATCTCTTCTCAAAACATGACAACAGAACACTGTCAATTGTATGCTATAAAAACCTTACACAGTCCAGATACACATTTTGATGACGACTGGAGATCGGAACAAGTCTCCAGTTCTTAAAGTCGTACACCACGACCACACCTAAAACTGTCTCTACCATCACCACCGCCACAGCAACCTCTACCACCACCTTAACTGCCTCTACCACCACCGCCACAGCAACCACTACCACCAACTTAACTGCCTCTACCAACACCATCACAGCAACCACTACCACCACCGACCACATCCTCCAAGACTGTACCAAATACAACATCTCTAGACAAAACTTGGCCAAGAGAGACACTAGTTAAAGCCAAACTATTTAAGTGAAATAAAAACGACAGCGAAGTTTTTACTAGAGACATCATTGTAGATATCAGTTAGTTGCGTATCCTTTACAGGACGTTGCAGAACCAACCCTAACAGCCCCTGGCTGTTGTGTGGTTTCTCTTGGCAAATTTACGTCCAGTAGTTTGCCATTGCTTGCTGGACGGTCGGCTTTCTTGATACCACTGTCGAAACCAACGCAAGGCGCATTGCCCGCAACTGGGATCGAACCCGGCATCCCGGCATTTCGAAGCGAAGCGTTCGCATCGACTTGGCCACAGAGCCGACATTGTAGATATAGATAATTTATTTCAAACGAACGAAAAAGAACTATCACAATTACCACTACCATCACCACTACCACCACTGCCACTACAGCGACTACCCCAGCCACCACAACGACCACCACTGCAACTACTACCACCACAACAGCTACTACAAAACCACTATTACTACTGTAACTGCCACTGCCATCACTACCACTACAGCAGATACCATAACCACCACCACCGCCACAATAACCACTAACACCGTCACAACAACGAATACCACCACCACAACAACCACCACAACAACAACCACACCACCACTACAACTACTACTACCACTGCCACAACAACCACTACCACCGCTACAACAACCACTCCCACCGCTACAACAACCACTACCATCGCTACAGCAACCATTACTACCGCCACAATAACCACTACCACCGTCACAACAACAAATACCACCGCCACAACAACCAATACCACCACCACAACAACCAATACCACCACCACAACAACCATTACCACTGCCACAACAACGACTACCACCACTACCACCGCCACAACAACCACTACCGTCGGTACATCTGTCACTGTCATCACCAGCACTACAACTACCACCACCATCACAACTACCACCACCACCACAACCACCATTGCAGGGTACAATTCTTCTCTGTCCACAATATTCTCAACATTATTCTCTGTCCCTGGTATTCACAACATTATTCTCTGTCCCTGGTATTCACAAAATTATTCTCTGTCCCTGGTATTCTCTACATTCTTCTCTGTCCACAATATTCTCAACATTATTCTCTGTCCCTGGTATTCTCAACATTATTCTCTGTCCCTGGTATTCTCTACATTCTTCTCTGTCCCTGGTATTCTCTACATTCTTCTCTGTCCACAATATTCTCAACATTATTCTCTGTCCCTGGTATTCTCTACATTCTTCTCTGTCCCTGGTATTCTCTACATTCTTCTCTGTCCACAATATTCTCAACATTATTCTCTGTCCCTGGTATTCACAACATTATTCTCTGTCCCTGGTATTCACAACATTATTCTCTGTCCCTGGTATTCACAACATTATTCTCTGTCCCTGATATTCTCTACAATATTCTCTGTCCCTGGTATTCTCTACATTATTCTCTGTCCCTGATATTCTCTACATTATTCTCTGTCCCTAATATTCTCTACATTATTCTCTGTCCATGATATTCTCTACATTATTCTCTGTCCCTGATATTCTCTACATTATTCTCTGTCCCTGATATTCTCTACATTATTCTCTGTCCCTGATATTCTCTACATTATTCTCTGTCTCTGGTATTCTCTACATTATTCTCTGTCCCTGATATTCTCTACAATATTCTCTGTCCCTGGTATTCTCAACATTATTCTCTGTCCACGCTACTGGTATTCTCTACATTATTCTCTGTCCCTGGTATTCTCAACATTATTCTCTGTCCCTGGTATTCTCTACATTATTCTCTGTCCCTGGTATTCTCTACATTATTCTCTGTCCCTGGTATTCTCTACATTATTCTCTGTCCCTGGTATTCACAACATTATTCTCTGTCCCTGGTATTCTCTACATTATTCTCTGTCCCTGGTATTCTCTACATTATTCTCTGTCCCTGGTATTCACAACATTATTCTCTGTCCCTGGTATTCTCTACATTATTCTCTGTCCCTGGTATTCACAACATTATTCTCTGTCCCTGGTATTCTCTACATTATTCTCTGTCCCTGGTATTCTCTACATTATTCTCTGTCCCTGGTATTCTCTACATTATTCTCTGTCCCTGGTATTCTCTACATTATTCTCTGGCCCTGATATTCTCTACATTATTCTCTGTCCCTGGTATTCTCTACATTATTCTCTGTCCCTGGTATTCTCAACATTATTCTCTGTCCCTGGTATTCTCAACATTATTCTATGTCCCTGGTATTCTCAACATTATTCTCTGTCCCTGGTATTCTCAACATTATTCTCTGTCCCTGGTATTCTCAACATTATTCTCTGTCCCTGGTATTCTCAACATTATTCTCTGTCCCTGGTATTCTCTACATTATTCTCTGTCCCTGGTATTCTCAACATTATTCTCTGTCCCTGGTATTCTCAACATTATTCTCTGTCCCTGGTATTCTCAACATTATTCTCTGTCCCTGGTATTCTCAACATTATTCTCTGTCCCTGATATTCTCAACATTATTCTCTGTCCCTGGTATTCTCAACATTATTCTCTGTCCCTGGTATTCTCAACATTATTCTCTGTCCCTGGTATTCTCAACATTATTCTCTGTCCCTGGTATTCTCAACATTATTTTCTGTCCCTGGTATTCTCAACATTATTCTCTGTCCCTGGTATTCTCAACATTATTCTCTGTCCCTGATATTCTCAACATTATTCTCTGTCCCTGGTATTCTCAACATTATTCTCTGTCCCTGGTATTCTCAACATTATTCTCTGTCCCTGGTATTCTCAACATTATTCTCTGTCCCTGGTATTCTCAACATTATTCTCTGTCCCTGGTATTCTCAACATTATTCTCTGTCCCTGGTATTCTCAACATTATTCTCTGTCCCTGGTATTCTCAACATTATTCTCTGTCCCTGGTATTCTCAACATTATTCTCTGTCCCTGATATTCTCAACATTATTCTCTGTCCCTGGTATTCTAAACATTATTCTCTGTCCCTGGTATTCTCAACATTATTCTCTGTCCCTGATATTCTCAACATTATTCTCTGTCCCTGATATTCTCAACATTATTCTCTGTCCCTGATATTCTCAACATTATTCTCTGGCCCTGATATTCTCAACATTATTCTCTGGCCCTGATATTCTCAACACAGTGCTCAGCAACCATCTCTGGGGCCTCTGGTTTTCTAATTTACGCGCATCCACCAGTTACAGCCACACAGGACAGCCAGTCAGCGTCTTCTGTTTCTGTGATGTTTTTCTGTAGTGGTGGGACTGCCATTCACCGTCCTCCTGTCTTGTTCTCCAGGATGTGATTGCTGTGGTAGAGAGACGCCGACACGACTGCCTCCAGTGGGTGCGCAAGATCAGGGAGGAGAAGAAGACGGTCCTCAAGGAACAGTTGGAGCTGATTCAGGCCGAGAAGGACAAAGTGCAGCTGGAGTGTGACGGCCTGCAGTATCAGGTGAGAGTTTTCTTTGATGTTATTCTGTGACGGCCTTGCAGTATCAGGTGAGAGTTTTCTTTGATGTTATTCTGTGACGGTCTGCAGTATCAGGTGAGAGTTTTCTTTGATGTTATTCTGTGATGGCCTTGCAGTATCAGGTGAGAGTTTTCTTTGATGTTATTCTGTGATGGCCTTGCAGTATCAGGTGAGAGTTTTCTTTGATGTTATTCTGTGACGGCCTGCAGTATCAGGTGAGAGTTTTCTTTGAGTGGTGTCTCTCTGTGACGGCCGGCAGTATTAGGTGAGAGTTTTCTTTGATGTTATTCTGTGACGGCCTTGCAGTATCAGGTGAGAGTTTTCTTTGAGATATGTCTCTCTCTGACAGCCTGCAGTATCAAGTGGGAGTTTTTTTTTTTAGAGATGTATCTCTGTGACAGCCTGCAGTATCAAGTGATAGTTTTCTTTGAGGGGTGTCTCTTTGTGACAGAGGACAAATCAGGTGAAAATGTTCTTTGTGGGATGTCTCTCTGTGGCCCATGAAGTATTAGTTAGGTTTGAGCACTTTTTTAAATCAGATAACTTATATCTGTTGACTTGTGTTATCGGTTTGAGATTTTCTAGGGGCTTTGGGCTTCAACACCTCATCAACTTGTCTGGTCCAGGGGATGCCTGTGTCTGCTCCAAGTTAGCTCAGATCTTCTAGAAGGCGCTCTAGGATTGATTCTCACTCACTCAGTAAATCTCCTATTTATGGCTTGATGTGGCTTTGGTAGGTGGTGCAGTAGCTAGTACACTTGCTTACCAGCCATATGGTGTGGAGTTAATCCCAAAAGTTTTTTTATTTTTTTAAAGATTGATCTATGCCCCCAAGTGAGTCCAATCTGTAAAAAGATATGCCCCCAAGTGAGTCCAATCTGTAAAAAGATATGCCCCCAAGTGAGTCCAATCTGTAAAAAGATATGCCCCCAAGTGAGTCCAATCTGTAAAAAGATACCACAGATTAGCTAGGGAAGTAAAGGCTGCCAACATGGTAACGACCCTGTTACCCATCAAATACAAGCTGGTAAGTAACAAGCATCTTGGATGAGCATCATATGTGCCCAGTATGCCTAAAGGAAGGAGCTGGTCGCTGTTCTTGTATTTTGACAGTTGACTGATATTTTCACTTTGACTTTTCCCATGTGGGTACCAAGGCCCCATTGTGGAGGGGGGGGGGGGAAACAAGAATAGACCCACTGCCTCCCCAAACAGCATGTCGTAGGAGTCCACTTATTGGGGCATTCTTTGAATTTGGAGTACATCTGCCAAGGAACCAAGGCGGTGGATACAGGTACGCCAGATCTGTACAATAGATGTGTATGCCAGATCTGTACAATAGATGTGTACGCCAGATCTGTACAATAGATGTGTACGCCAGATCTGTTCAATAGATGTGTACGCCAGATCTGTACAATAGATGTGTACGCCAGATCTGTACAATAGATGTGTACGCCAGATCTGTACAATAGATGTGTACGCCAGATCTGTACAATAGATGTGTATGCCAGATCGGTACAATAGATGTGTACACAACACTCAGATTTTGGAACAAGACTCGTCTGGAGTTGGACAAACACCCAGAACTGTCTGCGGGAGCTTACAGCCGCTGAACGCTGACAAGGGGAGGAGAGACTGTTGAATTACATTTTCACTGTTGCATTATGGTTTCACTGATGCTTTATATTTCCACTGATGCTTTATATTTCCACTGATGCTTTATATTTTCACTGTTGCTTTATGTTTTCACTGATCACTTGTTTCAACTGATGCTTTATATTTTCACTGATGATAATTTTTCACTGTTGCTGGCCTGCAGAATAGAACAAAATTCCGTGTCATTACTACATTTCTAACATTCGCAGCTGCCTTTTATATTTTAAATTTGTGCATCTGTCTTGTGTTTTTAGTATTTGCTACAGTTTGCTCTAACCAGTTCTACCCCATGATTTTTCCCCAGGTTGAAGTCAGAAATATCACCAAGAAAATCAGCGACCTCAACGAGAAACTGGACACAACCAGTTCACTGTCAGAACCCAGGGAGAACTCTTTCCTCCGCTATGAATACAAACACAACGACGCCCTCCGGGAAGTGGCCAAGGCTGTTAGCAACTTCGGAGCTATCAGGGTCAGCACCACGTTTCCAGCTCTCACCACGGCGGAGGCAAAAAAAGCTGTGGCTCATTTACGAACATCTGTCAGAATACACACCGTGGATTATCATGGTAATCCTAGATCTTCAGGTGGAGATCCTATTTTAGTGGATCTCAGAAATGAAAAGGGTGAGGTGGTGGATTCAAAGGTGAAGGATAACGATGATGGTACCTACGAGGTTTTGTACCTGCCCAACAAGCCAGGGAAATTAAAGATGTCAGTGAGCATATTTAACCGACCAATCAAAGAAAGCCCATTAATGATTGATGTTAGTGAACATATAGAGCCAATCTGGCGGTTTGGTTCTCGAGGTACCGGCGCTGATCACTTCAACCAGCCCACTAAAATTGCAACGGGGCTGGAGGATGTTGTTTATGTTCTTGACACTGGTAACAGTCGGATCAAAGTTCTAGGGAAGGACGGGTCAGTTTTGAGGCATCTTGGTCCAGTTGGGGTTGAGAATCAAGGTGCTACAGGGATTAGCGTGTTGACCAACGGTCATCTTGCTGTCATCAATTGGCGCACAAAATTTGTAACAATTCTGGATCCAACAGACGGATCATTAGTTAGACAGTATACTGCCGATGCGTTCGTTGAACCCATCGACGTTGCTGTGAATTCCCGTAATGAAGTCATTGTTGCAGACAGCGGCGCTCGGAAAATATTCAAATTTGACCAAACTGGCAACCTGGTCACAACGTTCGGAAGCCATGGAGACAAGGATGGACAGTTTAAGGTGATTTCTGCATTGTGTGTGGGGAAGAACGACGAAATCCTGGTCGCTGATCATCGCATTCAGATATTCAGTAAGGATGGGAAGTATCTTCGGAAAGTCGTCGATTCCGGGGAAGGATCTTATGGAGGTTTGGCTGTGGACAGTGCAGGGAATATTCTGGCAACAAAGACGGAGAAAGCGTACAAAGGAAGTACAAATGTAGGAGGAGCTTCAAAAAAGGAGAAAGGATCCGGGGGAGGCGGCCGAAGCTTTGTACATGTTTTCCACTCCAGCGGAAAGCTGCTGTACTCTATCGACAGTAGCACTGACCGACTGAAGCGGCCGAGCGGACTTGCAGTCATTAGTGACTACCGGATAGTGGTCACAGACCTGGGCAACAACTGTGTGAAGAAGTACTACTATAAATGAAGGTTGGTCACTGTGTGGTTTCTGTGTGTGCATTACCTCTTTAAAAACCATGTCAGTTGAGACGAGAAAGAACATTCTTAAAAGCTATATAAATCCTGTCTCGATATACAGAAGAGAATCATGGACTATTGGTAGATTAGTGAAAAATAATTTGAAAGCTGCCGAAATGTGGTTTTATAGACAAATGATAAGAATACCCTGGATAGATAAAAAGAGAAATGAAGACGTCTTGAAAGAAACTGACTCATGTAGAGAGCCGATGGCCCACATCAGAAAGAGACAATCTACATTCTTTGGTCATGTGATGAGAAAGAGACAATCTACATTCTTGGGTCATGTGATGAGAAGGAGAAAAATGGAGTACATTGTGACTGTAGGAAAGCTGGAGAGGAGGAGAGGCAGAGGGAGACTGAGAGAACATATGCTGGACAGTTTGACACCATGGCATGGAGGATCATCTGTGTCAGAGCTGATTGAACGTACACGAGACAGAAGGTCGTGGATAGTCGTGACTACCAACGCCTCACGGCATGGACTACAAGAAGGAGAAAGTAAAAGAGCCATCTAAGTGTTTAAAGCATATGGTGCTAGAAGCATATTTATTGTGTGAAGACCATCATGCGTGTCTCAAGAGGCAACTAAGCAGTGAAAGTGTAAACCTGGCTATCTTATCCCATGGAACACATAACTGCATAATAAACTGTGTTCTTTCACAAATAGCTTAGTTGAGGGCCTAGGCTTTGTAGGAAGTTAACTTAAAGGAAAAGGAAACAAGAAGAAAGCACTTTATAGGTGATGTGGTCAAGCATACTGACCGCCTTGACTTCCCAGAACATTTCCTGGTATCCATATCTAGGCTGGATGGACATGGCAGGCTATGTTAGTTTGAAAATAGGACTCGATGGAAATCAGAAACTTAACTACAGAACTGACAGCAAACATGCTAACCACTGCACCATCACAACTTCGACTGCCACATTTTCTGGCTAAAATGGCGGATAGCCAGCTGACCACTGAGCTCTGAAAAAATATATGTTTCCAGTAGGTTTTGCTGATGCAAATTCCCCAATTTTAGACCAGGAGTCCAAAAGTTCTATCGCCCAGCTAGTGAGTTGAGTATTTGGTGCTACACTGTGAGCCGCGGATTTCACATAAAATGTTTTTTTTTTAATTTTTACTGTTGTGCCCATTGCGTGTTGTTGACTACACGAAAATGGCGGTTGACCAGTTATGTTTAGAATGGCTTGTAGATGTGTGGGTACAATGCCGGGTTTCATGATCGACCGTTTGCACCATCAGCGCGCTACAGTTCTGGTGTGGGACCATTGGTGTTGACATATCTGACAGCTGCTTTATGCAGATTTTACCAAGCATGTGCAAGCTGCAGGATTGTCTAGACTGACAAGTTTTTCAAATGGGACTGGGTTGGAAATTTTGTGTCACTTCCACCGGCACAGGAACAGAGATGTTATGGGGCGACCCGTGTGGAACCTCTCTGAAACCTAGCTGAAACCTCGCTGAAACCTCGACTAATAACTAAAAATGTGCTGTCTGATCTGACATGAGGAACTCCCGCATCATTGAACTCTAGTGCTAGTTGAAGATTGTCGAAGGGGTGTGAGCTGTTGTGCTCGAGTTGAACTCTAGTACTAATGGAAGAGTGAGTGAAGTTCCACCCCACCAGGACCGCACAACAAGCGATAAACACCCAGTGACACAAAGTGCCTCTATTCGGATGAGAATCACCCTGGTACAGAAGCCCTTTAAATCGTTAGGTTATACTAGGGTCCCTGACTACAGCCGGGTGAGGTTTTAAAGTAAGAAACAAATTGCGTCCTATGATGGGGCGAGGTTAGGCCTAATGGAAGATGGTTGATGTGTTTGTGAAGGTCTGGTGTCCACAAGTTTCAGAACCCCTGTGCTACTGAACTCTAAGGAAGAAGGAATCAATTGTGGATTGATGGTGCGACGGAACTCATAGTGGCCTCTGTGGGAAACAGAAGGATTAAGGGAACAAGAACACCCAAGAGAAACACTTAAACGAACGTTGATGAGAGATGCCAAAGCTGCTAGACCGGATTCCATCCATGATATTGAAGTGCTTGCACAGGACAGAAAATCATGAAGAAGTAGACTGTAAGCCCCATGCACATTGTGATGAGGTGCTTTGCATGGTCTCCATGCGTACATTGTGGCAAGCGGAAAGTCCCGGCTACAAGTGACGGCACGATATACTTGGGGCTGGTGGAGTCAGCGAGGGGAAGCCCGAGCTGGACTCGTGGTCAGTTGGTTACCAGAAGTCGTAGGAGCCGGTTGTGTTAATAAAAGATGTAGTTCTTATGTCGTGCGAATGACCAGTGTTTGCATATGTCGCAAGCGATAGAAGTGTGAATAATCGTTGGAGCATGTCGAATAAATGTAACGGAATAAACTGTACGCATGTACATGGAAGATGAGCGGCGTTGTGTTATCAATCCTAGACGTTAGAGCAGTGCAAGTTATGTTGCAGTAATCATAGAGAGTTGAACCATGGCGAAAGCCAATAAGTCGTAAGCCAAGGTACATTTCAAGGTTAATTCTATACATATATATTGAACGAGGAAAATAAATAAATAAATCGATTAATATAACTAATTGAAAAGTTCAATGTAGAATCAAAATAAGAAAACTGAAATGACATTCTGAGTAGACAATGGATTCTACAAACGGCTCCGCAAGCCCCAAAAATTGGAGCCTCCGTTCTAAGGGACGTAATCGTGTATAATGACAGCGTCTCTGACAGTGTGTTAACAATTATTCCTGATCACTTGTGTTTGTGTTACATAGTCAACATTCTTGATTTATCGATTTTGTTAATTCTTTTTCTTTCAGATTGTTCAATCACACACAGATTCCATCGATGCTAGAAAGGATTTTACAACTGGCACAGTAGAGTTCTGTTTGGCAACTGTCAAGATAGTAACTATGAACTGACAAGTTCTCAAAACAGAAAGAGTAGATTCTCTGGTGCTGAACAGAAGTATCAACTCTAGTCATCCCCGTGTGGGATGACTGTTTTCATTTTTGTGAAGTCCCACCCTGGCTCTTGTCAGGGGCCGCGCAATATAGCCTACTTAATATGGCCTAATGGCTGAACGCGGTTTCCGGGACCTCTCCACAGGGGATCTTCATCCACATGGTGGCACTTTGTGTCTTTGGGTGTTTATCGCTTGTGTAATGTCCTGGTGGGGTAAACGTACTACTACTACTTACTACTACTACTACTACTACCGAACAGAAGAAAAGCTTGTAAACAAGATAGTTTCCCTGACACCGAACCAGTGCAATCTCAGTTGTATTGTTGTATAATGGTATCCTTGTACTGAGTTTAACGTTGTTATCTTTCCACTGAGTTGAATGGTTAAACTGATTTTATTGTAGCAAATCCGAACTGAAATGGAGATGTAATTAAACTACATTAATTGTAGCATCCTTGGACTGGTCTATTTGTAGCATCTTTTCCCTGAATTGAACATATCGTTGCTGAACTGAGTTGACTGTTGCATTTTGTTAAACTGAATTAAAAATATCAATGAATTTTTTTCATTCTAGCATCTTTCAACTGGGTTAAACATATCATTTTGTGTCTGTGTTAAACAACGTTAAACATATCATCAAGGTCATAAATACTGGAGCTGTGTGTGCAACAAGCAGACACAGACAGCCTGCAGATTAGCATAAATGAGACATTTGTCTTCTGTTTTGTCTGTTCTACTCTAACAGCTGTTTTCTGATACTTGTCATTTGTGGATGAATAACTTTTGTCAGATAGTTGTGTTACTCTCTCACAAATTCAATTTCTTAGCCATCACTGGTTCTTCATTTTGCTGTCCTAGTCTGTTTGTTTGTGTCTTTGTCTGTGTATTTTCTCATGTAGTTTTGATGCCTCTTTGATGTTTGCCAAAGTGAGGTTTGAACCTACATCCTTGGGTCTGGTCAGGGAAATATGTAAGGGCCCATGCCAGCACTGGTGCACAGACAGCAGAAGCAAGCACACGACTGTCTACACACCAGATGTGTGCACTGTCTATACACTGGATGTGTGCAGTGTTTACATACTGGATGTTTGCACTGTTTACACACCAGATGTGTGCACTGTCTATACACTGGATGTGTGCACTGTCTACACACCAGATGTGAGCACTGTCTATACACCAAATGTGTGCACTGTCTACACACTGGATGTGTGCACTGTCTACACACTGGATGTGTGCACTGTCTACACAATAGATGTGCGCACTGCCTACACAATAGATGTGCGCACAGACTATAGTGTGGAGGTAGCAGACACATCTCTGCAAGGGCTCACACTTGACCATGTGCCTGTCTTTACACCTTCGACACTCACCAGCTACAGGGAATTTATGAAGAACAAGGGAAAGAAATTATGGGATATTATATTTTTTAAATCACTGTTTCAGAACTTACTTGTTTTTTTTGGAACAAATGTAGTCACTCATTATTTATTACTTTTTGCCGGCATATAAACCTTCCAGTGGTGATTTATCTTTTTTTTGTATATCTCCTTCTCTGTCTTTCCCTCACACGCATGACTCAGCACCCTAGACCTTGCACAGCCAATCAGCACCTAGAATTATCTTAGCCAATCAGCACAAAAGACATTATGTAACCAGTCAGCATCCTAAACCTTAAACACAAGCATTCAACACCCTAGATCTTACACAGCCAATCAACACCCTAGATCTTACACAGCCAATCAACACCCTGGATTTTACACAGCCAATCAACACCCTAGATCTTACACGGCCAATCAACACCCTAGATCTTACACAGCCAATCAACACCCTAGATCTTACACAGCCAATCAACACCCTAGATCTTTCACAGCCAATCAACACCCTAGATCTTTCACAGCCAATCAACACCCTAGATCTTACACAGCCAATCAACACCCTAGGTCTTACACAGCCAATCAACACCCTAGGTCTTACACAGCCAAT